AAAAAATAGAGGACACTGAAATTCACACACCTGAAATTTCTGAAAAGATAGCAAGTGAAGTAAAGAAACAAATTCATGAGGCTAGGTACTCAGGTAAAGAATCTCTCAGGTAACGAAAGAAATAACAACCTTAATGAAAGTGTTGCTTAACATAGCTAGAGAAGACATAGATAAAAAAGTACAGGAGCATGGGAAATTGATGGAATCCTTGAAAAAATGTTGGCGGGGATATGGGGAGAAAGGAATCCTTTTGCACTGTTGGTGGGAGTAGACTGGTACAACCACTGTGGAAATCAATGTGGAGGTCCCTTTCAATCCAACTATTATTCTTCTGTGTATCTTCCCAGAACTGAAAACATCATTGTAAAATATGTGCACCCATGTTTATAGCAGCACAATTTGTAATAGCTAAGTCTTCGCAGCTACCCAAATGCCTATCAACCACAGAACAGATAAAAAAAAAGATATAGTATTTTTATACAATGGAGTATTACTCAGGTATAAAGGATAAATGTTTTATAAGTAAATGGATGCAAGTAGAGATCATAAGTGGAATAAATTAGACTTGCATGTGTAAATACATTGTCTTCCTAGTGTAAAAAAAAGAGTAAGATCCAAACTGTACAATAGATATTGTAAAAACAAAAGGGAAGGAAAGTGCTCAAAAGGAAAGAACAATTGTGATAGGGGAAGGGAGAAAAGAAAGAATGGAAAAGGCTGTACGTGTACACATGTATACACATATGTATATGTAAATATATGAGATAAATATACTCATCAAAAAAATTGTTTTCACTGTCTCACTGATCATTTTTTGATGCCTAAATTTTATAATCTGAACAATTATCTTGAATAACAATATGCAATATATTTATGCTAATTTCCTATTTATTTTGTTTTTGAAATTCTGTATCATTTTTATTTTTTTTAAATGAAAAAAAATTGACAAAAATGGTGATTAGAAAAAAAGGCACCCAGTGTAGAGAGGCCTCACTGACTCCATCCTGTCCCGGACACATCCTGTTGAGAGTGCCTTGGCAGAAAGTGCAGGCCCTGGGACATCCCTTCAGGTTAAAACATGAGGTTGGCAGGCCAGCGAGAGTGCGGTGAGTCACTCCACAAGCAGACAACCTCAGTACATCAGTGGGAGCCTTGGTGACCTCTCCCTCTACCTGGAGGACCTTGGCAGGCCAGCAAGAGTGTGGTTGAGTCCTTCTTCTGTACAAAGAACCCTGGGTGTTGGGTGTGCTGGTGAGAGCACAAGTGAGGCCTCCCCAGACCCTGAGGAACTTGACTGGGCGTGTGAGACCCCCAAGTACAAGAAGCAAACAAGTTACATGATCCAAGCATGTGCAATATGAGTTTCTTTGTTCTTTATCTCAATAAAAGCTGCTTGCTTACACTGGTCCGGCAGCAGCTATTTTGCTGACCCTTGGTGTGTGTGTCCCTTTATTTTCCCTTTGCTTGCAGAACCCCTAAAACTCAGCATTTAGGATGCTCTTGTTCCGTGGAGAGGCATATAGGAGGAAAATCAATGAAACGAATTATGTAGAGTATCCTGCCATCACAAGGACTATCCTCACAGGGGCAGGCGATATTCATTCCCACACTTATCTGCTACCCCATTCTAGCTTGCCTCTTCCCTTGGCTGCCACCTCTATGGTCTAGGTGGCTCATGAAAGCTTAAACCCTTACACCTCAGAGGTTTGGACAGTGGTCACCTTTCCCTTCTGGGCACACAGATGCTGCACTTGGTTATTTACCATCAAACTTGGCCAAAGAATATTATACATACTATTGTTCTGAGTGCTAAAGAGTTTCCTGTCTGTACTCAATGTACAACACAGTCAGCATAGAATTATCTAATCATAAGTTTACAGTAATCATGATTCCCCATTACATTGCTCTGAAGCCTTATGTCTGCATTCATTAGTTGGAATGCTTTTATCCTAGTTTGTTTGATTTTATTATGTGTGATAGTATAAACAGATATTTTAAAGAAAAGACATTAGAATAGCCAGTGCTATTTAGTATCATCTTACTCTGAAGTCCTACCATGCTTTTGTTTTTGTTCCCTTTGGTTCTATCCTTTTATATCTTATTGGATATTATTATGGGTGATAGTATAAACAAATTTTCTATGGAAAATTGTAGGGAGCGGCTTCGAACAGCTGCTGCTGCCCTGCCCCTCCTGCCTGAGGGCATTTGGTGTGTCAGCCTACATTTCCCATGATCCTCATGTCCACCTACATTACCCATAATCCTCTCCTGCTTATGTCATATATCCGGATGTGATGATGACCTATCAGATAACACTCTGTGCCCTCTTCCTGCCTTTGGCCCGCCCCCCACCCTATATAAGTTGTAGCCATTTTAAAAATAAACGAGACTCGATTGGAATCGCATCTTGTCTCCATCTCTCTTTTCTCTTGCCCTGCCCCCATCCCCGATCCCCTCTCCAGGTGAGACCCACGAACTGGTCCGCAGGCCGAATCAAGTGGCGCCCCACGTGGGGCGGGTCAGAAAATGAGATAATTTAGTAGCCACTGTTCATTCTCTGCTATTTGGTTCTGAAAGCCCTATAATGTTTTCATTCTCTTGAATGGTTTTATACTGTTTTGTTGTGTTTCATACTATCATAGATAAAGCTATGCTCAACTACTTCAAAGAAAGACATTATGGTAGTTACTGTTAATTATGGCTTGCCTTGTGGTAAAATGCTGTTACTTACACTGTCCTGATCTGATTTGTTATGTCTTCTGTCTTAATCTCTTTAAAGTAATTATTTTATCATGCCAGTACAATTTATTTTGTCATTTATACTGTCCTCTCACTAGATACCCAGTGTGAAGTCTAAGCTTTCCACAGCTATGACTAAATACCTAAGAGTAACAACTTTAGGCAAGAAAGGTTTACTTTGGCTCACAGTTTTTGCCCATTGTCAAATGGATTCACTGCTTTTAGGCATGGGCGTGACAAAAGGAATCTGGTGATTTCATGGCAATCTGGAAGCAGACAGTCAAGAGCAAAGGGTCAGGGACAAGACAGTCCCCGAGAGCATGGCCCTGAAATTTGCTTTCACTAGGTCCTATCTCTAAAGTTTCCATCACCTTCTCATAATGCCATAAGATTTTTAATCCATCAATGATTAATCCACAAATGAAGGCTCAGCCCTCATGATCCAAACACCTACCAAATGCCTCAACTGAACACAGCTGCACCTGGGGTCAGACCTTCAATGTGTGAATCACAGGGGACATTAGACAACATGTTAGCTGCTTGGAAATAGAGGAAAAAATCCTAGCAATGAGGTGAGAGCCGGATCTACATTTCTGATCATGTTTCTACCACTCGCCCCATATCACCTTGAACTAGTTCTACTCATCACACAGGCCTTTGCATGTCCAGATTGCTCTTGCCACAGAAATTCCCATCTCACCATCCCATCTCATCAAGATCTCTGCTCAACTACTTTAGCTGCTTACCCACTATGCATGAAACCAGTCTCCCTTCAACGTCTTTAAAAAGTCTGAGTTTTCTCCATAAAATGCATATAATTGTAAAAATATTTTTGTAAAACCCAACCTTTACTCCATTAGAATGAACTGCTTTGGTGTTTAAAAATCTTGTGTGGCCATAGAAAGTACTAGTGGTTACCAGCATGGACTGTTTAGGTTCAAATCTGCACTCCACTCTTATTGGCCAGTGAACTCAGGCAAGTAGCTTCTGTGTGGATAATAGAACATAACTTAAGCAAATAAATTTGTCTAGCAGTACCTCAGTTTATAAACTTGTTTTGGGATTGGGGGAAGACACCTGCATTTGTATTTGTGTGGGAAGATGGCATGGTCATGTTTGTCACCTGATGCTGAGTTTGCAAAAAGCAAAATGTTGCCAATGCTTTTGTTTGCAAACTGTTTAGAAACAGAAGTGTTTATGAACCGAGGCATTACTGTACTAATATTTATAAGGTACTCTTGCCTATGTACAAAATGTGCTATGTATTTGACCATCTATTATCAAGGCAATATAATTCTTAGCTATTTGAAAATAAATATTGAATAGTTTCCCTAGTGTAAGAAATGGTAAGAATACATAACAATATGTGGTAATCATGATTCCTCATTATATTGTTTTGAAGCCTTATAATGGTTTTCATTCATTAATTGGAATGGTTTTATTCTAGGTTGTTTGATTTTATTGTCTGTGATGGTATGAACAGCTATTCTAAAGAAAAGACATCATAATGGCTAGTGCTGATTTAATATCATCTTGTTTTGAAGTCCCATCAAACTTTTGTTCTTCTGTCTCCATCAGTTTTATCATATTGGATTTTATATGTGATAGTATTAACAAAATTTTTTATAGACAAGGAGATAATATAGAAACCATTGTTCGTTTTCTGTTAATTGGTTTTAAATACCCTGTAATACTTTCACTCTCTTGAATGGTTTTACACTGTCTTGTTATGTTTGATGCTATAGTATACGAAGGTATACTCAAATATTTCAAGGAAAGAGACACTATGGTAGCTACTGTTATGTCGGGTTGTCTTGTGGTGAAACACTATGTTGCTTAAATAGTGCTGTTCTGACCTGAATTGTTATGTCCTCTTTTATCTTAAATCTTTTTTTAAAAGAAAAAAAGAAAATATAGGACCTGCATGAGGAACAATTCACATGAACATTTGCAATCCTACATACACCCAGTTATAGCACTATCAAAATAAGTACAAAAGAGAATTATAAGAATGTGAATCCATAACCATAATGGAAGACTTTACTACATCATTATCACTAAAGTTTAAAAAGTTCTGAACGTACAATGGAACACAACAGATTAAGGCCCATATACTCTATATCTACATATTAGAGAATATACATTGTTTTGAAAGAAATATAAAATATGGAAAACATTGGGCAAACTGCTAAGTTTATCTTTGAAATACTATATTCAGTTGTAATTAACAAGACACCTCAAAAATGATTAATCACTTTGGCTTCAACCAGTTAGGGATTACTTTTATTCAATCACATAAGGATAGTCTTAATAAGCAGTCCACAGATGACAAGGCCAATCAGCAGCTTTGGGGAAATTCAAATCATTTTGTTGTTTTGCTTTTTGCTGCACTATAGATTTTGTCCGTGTGTGTGTGTGTGTGTGGTGGTGGGGTAGGGGAGTAGCTCTTTATTCTCCAGACATTAACACTTTTTATAAGGTACGATAATGTAAACCGAAAACAAGTCAGATGGTTCTTCAATTGCTCAAGTGACTTCTGCCTAATTAATTCTCAAAGTCACAAGAATGGAACAAGATCTGCCTGAGTGTCAAGAAAGCCTGGTGGCTTATTTTCAATACTGCTCAAAGACAACTTGAAAATTTTGCTTTAAGTAAGGATGGCACAACTATTGAGAAAGAAGCTAGTAGTATTTTTCATACTTATATAGAAAAATAGAAACAGTACAATGAAGTCTATTCATTCTAACAAAAATACCACTAACCTAGAATGAAAGACTATCAGAGGCATTATTTAATTTCATATGCTAAAGAAATGCATTCAGTGGCTATTCAGAAATCCTGTACCTTTCTTGATATGCAATGCACTGATGGTTTTGAAAAGCAAATTGTATAGATTGCATTCAAGCTTTGGAAGGTAATTTAGGGTTTATTTTGAGGAACAGATAAAAATGTTTGTATGAACCAAAGACTAAAATTAATGAGTTAGTGGGTGAACCTACAGATTAGAAAATGGTGATGCTAATTTCAGATTCACTTAGACTTTTCTCCCCAGTATCTGTTATCTCCTAGTCCCTCAGTGAAATGCTGAGGCTAAGGTATTCTACCATAGATTGGATTCCTAGGCTGCTCCACCACCTGGGTGTTCAGGAGAGGCATCAATGAAAAGCTTTCAAAATTCACACTCATAGGTTTTACATCTGGGGAGAATCTTCATGTTTTTCCTAAGTGGCATTTTAGAAAGCTTTTCCCCTTTTCTTTATATTCACAAGTCTTCTTCTGAATGTGGGAAAATAGAAAGTCTTCCAATACCAGTGACATTCAACAGCTTTCTCTCCATAATAAATTCTCACATCGTTTTAGAAGCAGAGAATGTACAGTGTTGCCCCACAGTCACTGCAGACATAGCACCCCACCATAGTGTACTTACTAACACGAACACTTGAAGTATAGCGCTCTCCACATCTGCTTTCACACGTGTGTCTGAAAGGATGAACATCGGGCTTCTGAATTCTGATGAGCTTCATAGGGTCTTTTCCCAGTGGAAGCTGTCACAAGGATCTGTGGCTGAAGGCTTTCCTTTTGAAAGGAAAAGCTTCAGGTTCCACTGGGCATAGTAGTATGAGCTTGAGTTGGAAGTCTTATGTTTTTTTTTTTTTTATTTTGAGAAGGATCTTGCTATGTAGTTTAGGCTGTTCTTGAACTTGCGACATAATCCAGGCTGGCCTTGAACTCGCGGCAATCCTTCTGCCTCAGCCTGCTGACTGCTGGGACTCTTAAAAGTGTGCCACTAGGCTCAGTGAACTGTAAGTTTCATCACACTGATTGTACTCAGTGGTTTTGCCCTCCAATTTAAACTAACAGGAGAATTTACTGAACACCATTTCATACTGCTTGGAAGGATGAGGATGTGCTGAAGGCTTTTCATTAATTTCAAAACATGTTTCCTAGATGGTTTCCAGTGATCTGTCTCCTAGTACTCACTTTCTGTAATCTTCTAGTACACTGTTTCAGGATTGGTCTGTGTAACCAGGATAATATGGAAAATGTGAAAATGCACCCTTCTGATGACGTCATGAGAAACGCCATGGTTTCTTCACTGGCTTTCCCTTCCATCACTTGGTTTGGGGGAATTCTGCTGCCATACTGTAAAAATACTTCACCTTCTGGAGAAACCTACATGGTGAGGAAAGAAGGGTCTCCTGTCAACAACTGGCACTAATTTTCCAGGCATGAGAGGAAGCCACATGGATGCAGATCTTTCATCAGTGAAGGCTTCAGCTGACCACAGCTCTCCCTGACATCTGGACTACAGTCTCATGTGAGATCCTGAACCATAACTACAGAGCTAAGCTGTTCCTGAATTCCTGGTCTACAGAAACTGTGACACACTGAACTTCTGGGGGCCACCAAGTTTGGAGGGATGATTTTTTTAAAGCAGCAACAGATAACCTGTATATCTGTTGTGAGTTCTCTCAAGTTGAGAGGTCAACAAGGGCTTTCCCAAGAAATTCCTACAGTAATTTCTTATCCCAACTCATATCCACCTGTTATGTATTCTCTTGTGCACAGAAAGGTAAGAGTTACTAGTGAAAGATTTTCCACAGTGGTTACATTCATAGGGTTTTTCTCCAGTGTGAGTTCTTAAATGCTTCTTCACAGCTGAGAGATTATTAAAGGCTTTCCCACAGTCACTGCATTCATAAGGTTTCTCTCCAGTGTGTATTCTCCTATGCACTGTTAGAGAAAAGCTACTGCTAAAGGACTTGCCACACTCACTGCACTCATAGGGCTTTTCTCCTGTGTGTGTTCTAACATGCTGTGTCAGATAGGAGCTCTTTCTGAAGGCCTTCCCACAATCATGGCACTCATAAGGTTTCTCCCCTGTATGAATGCTGTTGTGTCCAGTCAGGGAGGACCTTGTACTAAAGGCCTTTCCACACTGATTACACTCATGGTGATTTTCCCCCGTATGGATTCTCTTGTGGCTCTTGAGGTTACAGCTCGTGCGGAAGACGTGAAAACACTGGTTACACTCATAGGGCTTTTCTCCGGTGTGAATTCTCACGTGCAATCTGAGGGATGAAGGATCACTAAAGGCTTTGCCACAGTGACTGCATTCATAGGGTTTCTCACCATTATGGATTCTCCTGTGAATAGTAAGGTAAGATCTACTGCTGAAGGATTTCCCACACTGATTACAGTCATAGGGCTTTTCTCCAGTATGAATTCTCTTGTGCTGAGTAAGGTTAGATTTTGTGCTGAAGACCTTAAAACACTGATTACATTCATTGATTTTCACTCCACGACGACTTCTCTCCTGTTAAGAGATGAATAAATATAATTTATAATATTTTTGACATTTCATGTCTCTCCCAGAAATTCTATTACATCATTAAAACATGTTTAAAACTACTGGTTTAGCCCTTAGAAGTTAAAAACAACAGATGTTTGGCAGTTTTTATCACATTCATAAAATTATTTTCTGATAACTTAAGTATTAATTTATATTTAGCTAGTACATTGACTCACATTTTTAATGAAATATTTAGTTCATTAATTATTTTATGTGAGAAGTCTCAGTGAAGAAACAAGTTTGGAGCTAACTTTGTCTTTTCTAATTTTGGACATTTCCTACTGTGGAACAATAAACCACCCATGCTGATCTTACCATTTTTACAGCTTTTACTTGTTCTCTTCTAAAAGCATCCTTCTTAGGTGTTAGCCATCTGACTTTCAGTACAGTCTCCAAATCTGAAACACAGTGAGAAGAAACTCAGCTTCTGGAGAACAGAAATGGAAAGGTACAGAAATGAGCCAAGGTGGACTAAAAGACCAGAATTCTTGAGGAAGCCTGCAATAAACGGCAACTATAGAAAGTTATTATTTATTTTAGAGTTTATTTCTTATCAGTATATGCTGAGGGTACCTTATTTATATTCCTTGTAGGGAGTTGGTACATTCACACATTTAAGCTCCTTTCCTCATCCTCTTCGTCTGCCACCATCACTTGATTCCCTTCCCATCTGAGAAAGATCTATTTCCCTGCTTATTCTCTATCTTTTGCTTGGCTGTTTATATATATTTTGGGTTTCTCACTTATGAGAAACTGAGATATTTAAGTTTGTGTGTCTGATTTATTTCATCTAACATTAAGGTCGCAAGGAACATCCTTTTCTCACCAATGACTCAAGTTTATCTTTCAATATGGAAGAAAAGCAAGATACCAGAAAGGCTGAGACTGAGAAGGAATTACCAGGAATGAAAAGGGGGGCTTATTTCTCTTGAGTCCTGGCCACACATATTCCTCACGATGGCTCATATGCACCTGGAGCTCACCTGGACAGGTGCCTGGGAGATTTCCCCTTTCCTCCGTCATTGCTTGGTCTTCTTGCTCCAGCTGGGAGATCAGGCTGGGTTTATCAACATGACATCCTATTGAAGGAAAAACGGTATGTGATGTGAGCAGTTCCATGAGACTACAACCAACCAACACTGCTGAAGGTGGCAAAGTGTGACTTTAGAAAAAATGGAACAATTCTGTCTAAAATCAAATGAATACAGTAATTACTGAAGGGAACAAAATGCAAGCCATCTTGAACTCGATATTCAGGACATTAGGGCATAAACAATCCTAGAAGCCCATGCTTCAGTTCAAATACATACGTCAGAGGCCCCAAAACTTTTACCCATGGAATACATAATGTTAGGGCAAAAAAGAAATACTCATTCCATAGGAATGGCACCAGACAGGCTGTTTCTAGAGAATGAATGGGGATGGCACTGGTGTCATTTACAAATGTATTCTCAGACTCCTGTACAGCCCTACAGCCACAGAAGTGCTTCAGGGACTTGTGAAAAGTGATGACAGTGAGTAGGGAACTCAAAAACCTTATTCCCTGAAAAAAAAAAAAAAAAAAAAAAAGGAAACAAACTCGCAAAGATGTTCAGGAGCAACTTCGTTTGTACTCTACAGACTTCTTAAAGTTGACAGCAACCGGCCTCTTTTTCTTCATTCTGTAAAACAACCACGACCCACTTGCCTCAGAGAATGGCAGTCAGGCATAGCTCAGTTTAGATAAGCGCTTAACAAATCTTCATAAAGAAATGAACTGGGAAACAAAAGGGGCATTGTGCGACTGTGAAAACCTAGATGAGAGCACTATTAAAAGCATAGTATCGAGAGGACAGAAAATGGCGGCTTGGTAGGGGATCGGGCGGAGAGTCTCTCCGGAGAAATCATATTAGAAGCTAGAATATGGTAACATGGAGAGGGCCAGACAAATGGATAACAATTCTTATTAACCAAGACAATACAGCTGGAGGATTTAAAGTCGTGCTGAGATTGTGAAGGCTGAAAACGGGAGGCTGCAAATCCCGCGCCTTTAAATCAACAATTTGACCCGTGGACCCAACAGGAAAAGCTGTGTTGGCTTTTGGTGACTCGTGGAAACTGAGACCTGATATCCCGAGAAGCAGCCAGGACTGCCCCGCTGCACCAGAGAAGATTGTGAAAGGCTCTCGAGCTCCAAAGCCAAAAGCTGAGCACATTTCTGACCATTCCGCGCTGTGCCGGGAGTGCACGCAGAGCGGATTCCTGACCATTCTGCACTGCGCCGGGAGCGCGGGAAAGGTGGGCGGCATGGACCATTGTGAGTACTGGGGACCCCGCAGCTGCTGGGGTTGGCCAGAGAACATCTTGGAACTGGGCAGTGCCCGCCACCACGGGGACATCAATAACACAGAGTCTGGTGGCAGCCATCTTACAGTTGGGCAGAACCTACAGCTCGGTGGCATCACTGAGGCCCCCTGTAGAGAGGGCTGGTGGAAGGCATCTTGAAATTGGGCAGAGCCTGAGGCTGGGCTGGCTTCAGTGTCATACAGAAAACTAGTGGAAGACATCTTGGATTTGGGCAGATCTGCTGTTCTGGTGCTCCTGTCACAGAGAGGTCTGGAAGAGAACAGCTGGGATTTGGGCAGAACCCTGTGCCATAGTGACATTAGTCAGCTGCTTCTGGTACAAAGAGAACCGGCAGGAGCTACTGGGGCTAAACCAAGCCTCTGCTTGGGGCCCAACAAGCAGATACAAAATAGTCACAACTCAGTGACATCCAGAAAGTACAGCCTAATTTACGGATTGACTGGCGCAGAGGCTGGAGGCTAGCCTGTACCGCCCCTGCATCCCAGCCTACCCCAGATAACAGCAAATTGGGGAGGACAGCAAAAACTCAAGTCAGCATGCTTCTGAAAGGCCCTAAGCAATTCGGAGAGGGCCAGAGAACCCCAGGACAGTCTGAAAGAAACCAGAAACATGACAAGAGATAAAAATAAAAAAAAATCTCCAGCTGCCCAACATGAGAAAATAAGCCCAGGAGAAGTAAACACCGAAGAGAACAAGCACAGTAACCATCCATTGTTCGACATAGCATCAGCCGAAATTAAAAAGTACCTTCACGGTCTCATAGAAGAATTTAAAGCTGTACTCCTGATCCAAGTGAGACAAGATATAAAGAGATTAATTCAAGAAATGACAAGCCCTGCCCAAGAGAACACAGATGGAAGAACTGAGGAAATCAGAAAAGAAAGAGAAACTTCTGAAGAAGAATTTAAACATAACTTAGAATACATGAAACAGATCCAAAGAGAATACCAGGAAACTAAAGACTCCATTGAACACTGGCAAAATGCCTTGACAGAAACTAAAGACAGCCTTCTGAAACTTGAAGAGAGATTTATGGCATTTGATCGTGAAAGAAAAAGCCTCTTAAAAATAACAAGGAACCAGAAAGAACCAATTCAAAAACTGGAAGATGACAAAAAGATACATAACTTAAGAATAAAGAATGTGAGTGAGGAAGCAGGAGCAACAAAAATGAAATACAAAGAATATTCACAGATATATTAAAGCAAAATTTCCCATGTATAGCAAAAAGAAATGATATCCAGATAAAAGAGGCATACAGAACACCAGATACCTACAACCAAAACAGATCTACACCTAGACATATAATAATCAAGATTCCAGAAATCCACCAAAAGAACAGAATATTAAAAGCAGCCAGAGAAAAGATGCAGATTACCTACAATGGGAAAACTATCAAAATAACAGCAGACTTATCATCACAAACTCTTAAGTCAAGAAGGGAGTGGGGAGAAATATTCCATTCCTGAAAGAAAATAATATGCAACCGAAGCTCATATACCCGTCAAAACTCTCTCTCAAAATTAATGGAGAAATAAGATATTTTCAAGACAAGGAGGAACTGTGGGAGTTCATGCCCACCAATCCAACCCTACAGAGAGTGCTAAAGGACATTACAGAGAAAGAGAGGAAGAGATACCAGGATTCCAGCAACAGTTGCAGAGAGGCCTCAGTGAACGGGGCAGACAGTGGAATGAGGGAATAAGGTGGAAAAATTATAGCAGAAAAGTGGAGTAGCAGACATGAGGCAGAGACAGTAAGCTATAGTCTTTAGTATAGACAGAGCTGAAACTCTATAAAAAAAAAAGGCAGAAGTTATTGTTAATGGTGTATAAGGATTTAAAAGACATAGTAGTCTTATTGACATATTTAGCTTGAATATATACTGGTCTGTCCACTCATGTCAGATTTGAGGGCACAGACATCTTGACCCAAAAATAGCAGGTTATACCATGGTAACTATCCTTACCTTCCTATTAACTTAAACTGAAATCCTACAATACTTACATTGTCTTACTGTGACTGATCTTAATTGAATCTGAATCATAAGACTATGGGTTGGCCTTGGCTGATTTTACTTGAAATTGGTATGCTTGTTAGTATCAACCCTAAAAGTAGAGGCAACTACTCTGAAGATGACCAGATGTAAAGGATATCCATACTGGTATTAACTAGTAACAGCTCTCAAATCCTACAATGCTGTCAAAGTTATGTTTTTATAAAAATAGGTGATATTATATTTAACTATAATAAGCCAGTGTGGTAGTCAAATCTATTGAAAATAACAAGAGAAAACACAGTAACTACGGAAGATCATCTATACTGTGTTCTTATATGTCTTATCCATTGCATGTTTTTCTAGGAAATTGTTTTGCTGTCTTGCTATGACTTGGTATTCCCTATAATATAGAGAGGATAGATATATATGTAGAAATTCACACATGGGTTTTCTTTTTTTTTCTTTTTAATTATTTACGGGAACAGATTATATAATGCAAGATGTAATGAACAGATACTCTGAGGAAGAGACGCTAAGAAACCCGAGGCTAATTTTGTAGCATTATGATAGAAATTCTAGCAATACTAATGTTCGCTGATTAGAATAACATTGGACTGGTTTCTTGAGTTCAATTTCAGCATATGTAGAGATGGGGCCAGCTATCACAAAGAGAATGAGAGATGCGATGATAGTTACTGTTGTCTTCCCTAATTTGGAACTTGAGGACCTAAAAAGCCTCCAATGATTTGATTAGTTCTATAATATACAATAAGTATATAAGGTGGGTGAAGATGGGGACAACTATTTGTAAGAAACTAGAGACAGTTAGATAGACAATGAAGATCTCCAGTGGGCTTGCTGCGAAATCTGTATTTCTTTAAATTGTTTTTTTAACTGCTTTGTTCTGTTTTGATATGTTTAATCTTACCCTCTTTGAGATGTAAAACAAATGTGTAGGACTGATAACCATATTACTGAGCTCTTGTTCGATCATAGAGCAGAAGGGTTTGTAGTGTCACTTTATGAATGTCATTCTAAATACTTTAATTCTGTAACATGAACAGCTATTTCTAAGATGACAATGTGTAACTTATCAACCAGCAATTTCTTACTGTTTGTTTTTCTGTAAGTTTGTATTATTTCTACCCCCCCCCCTTTTTTTTATCTCCATGTATTCTTTTGTTTCCTTTTCTTTAAATAAAAAAAAAAAAAAGTTGACAGCAACCAGTAGAATGTCTAGACCAGAAGAAAAAAAAAAAAAAAGCTAAAGCTCAGGCCCATTTCCTTGCCTCTGCTTTGACCAGGGCTTTGAAGACTCCAGGCAGTACTGCTGGTCTGCAACAAAACAGAACTTGCTCTGTGGTTTTCCCCGGCCTGTCTTGGGCTTCCTGAAGGACTGGCGCAGGGGGCTTTCTTTTGTTGTCTAACCACAAAATCCGAGGCTGGAGCTGCCTACCCTGGAAAAGTGAGGGGTGCATTTAAAGGCCAATGTGTTAGTCAGTGCTGCCAGAGGCACGAGAGAGAAGACTGATGCAAACAAAACTAGCACTGACCTAAAGCCTGGGAAGGAAGGTGGTGGACAAATCTGTAACATCTCCCTACGATTCCTAGGAATGTAGAATACCATGTGTACATCCAGGGTTGTGTCCGCGCTTGGAGAAGGCAGGAGAAGGCACTGAACCCTCAGCTCTGGCTGACCTTCAGGTCTGAAGGCCGGTAGTGACCCACTGCAAG